TCTATGACTTTTTCTCCAGCATTTGTAAATAAATGTCTTTCACCCTCTGTGAGTTCATTAAATCTACCATTTCAACTTTTACCCTCTGCAATAACTCCCCAACATTCATCTGTAGTCCTGACTTCTTCTTCCCCAAGGTTCACGTTTGCATGCGGGTGCTGGGAAACTCCACCTCCCCACTAACCCCACTACTCTGGTTCAAGCCCCCACTACCTTCCAGAATGACTTCCTGTCTACCGTCCCTCCTTTCTCCACTTCCTCCACCCACTTCCACCAAACCGCCAGATTCATCTTCTCAAAACTTCGACCTCTCCTCGTCTCATGAACCATCAACTCCATGCATTATACGATGCAGGAGTTGTTTTAACTGATTAAAAGCAAAAACCAAAAAAAGACCAAGTTAAAAAAAAAAAAAAAAGACTGAGTTACATCAAACTTACGAAAAATTATTTCTAAATTTCTAAAATTAAACAAGGCTTCTACGAAAGCCACACTGGGTGGCTTGTTCTATGGGGGTAAGGGTGGAACGGCAAAGCAATGCCCTCCTTTTCTGTTTTTTACCCAAAAAAGGAAAAAAGAAAAAAACCAAAAAGACATTAGTTTTTTTATCTTCCTCAATTACAAAATGCCTGCTTTTCTCTCCTTCACACGAACCCTGCTACGCATCAGAGGATGAACCTTGTCACCTGCTGGAATTTCGAAATCCCTGCCCGCATCACACACTGATGTCTGTCTGTGGGAAGGTCATGTGGGCTGGCCCACACACGGGCAAGGAAAGTGAGCGACGCATGAGTGAGTGAAAATGGGGATGTTATTTGAGCAATTTGTGCCCACGTCATTACAGAGGCGGGAAGAGGAAGCGATAGGAATGATAGGCTGACAGACACCCACTTAATAAACACGAAGCTTAGCAAGCACGGAAAACAGGAACATGCACTTAGACCTTGCAAAGACTGTGAGCACTTTACGTGTTCTGCCAAGCAGGTGGATGTTATTGATTGCACATAGCCAAAGCCTGTACCCTCTGTCTGGGAGGGAGGGAGGGGGGAAAGATGGAAGGGAGGGAGGAAAGAAGGAAGGAAGGAAGGAAGGAAGGAAGGTAGGTAGATTTCTAAGGCTAAAATTTTTTTTTTAGAGTTTATCTTGTAGCTATTATAATAATGTCTCCAAATCTACCATGTTGGATTCCATCTTGTTTTTTGGAAAGGGCTGAACGTGCATGGATGATATTTTTGCTTCTTCCCGGCTGGGGTGGGGTTGACCTTTAAGCTGGTGTGCCTATGCATAGGGGCTACATTCACAGCAGGCCATGTGACCCACGGTCTTCGCGTGTGGCGCCTGCTGGAGCAGGGCAGCGTGAGGCACGTGGCCGCCGCACACAGTTTGTGAGCAGCGACGCTGAGTCAAGCCAGCAATGCACGCTGAGGGAACAACGCCGGAATGACGAGCCACAGCCTCTGTGTGTTTGCGATGTTTGTGACTCACTCCCAGGTAAATGCAGGCCTTAATTCATGCTTGTGGACTTCCGGTTGGTAATCACTCCAAATGTCCTAGTCTCCTGAGGCAATTAGAGTGGAATTCATCTTGAGCCACTAAAATTACATAATTATTTATATTAATTACATTTACAATCAGAACTACTAACTGACTCAAACCTAACATAATAAATCCTGGAAATCAGCCAGGTACCCAAAGAATAAGGTGGGCAGCTCTTCAAAGTCAAACGATCCCTTGTGCCATTTACAAGAGATGAAAACAAAGGTTGCTAAGATCTCGGTCACACCAAGTCCTAGGGTCTAAGGAGACGCATTTGTCCTGTGGCTGGTGTGGTCAAAGCACAGCTGAGAAAAAGAGGCTAAGGAGCCGCTGCCGTTCTCTGTTCTTGTCTTCGTCTTCGGTGCCACAGCTCCGGCACATCTCCTCTCGGGGAACAGAGCTAGGGAAGAAAGGTAACTCTGTGCTCCACTTAAGTCTTTTTTTTTTTTTTGGAGATAGTCTCACTCTGTGGCCAGAGCAAGGCTTTCTGGGGTAGAGTGCAGTGGTGTCAGCCTAGCTCACAGCAACCTCAAACTCCTGGGCTCAAGCAATCCTCCTGCCTCAGCCTCCCGAGTAGCTGGGACTACAGGCATGCGCCACCATGCCCAGCTAATTTTTTCTATTCTTAGTAGAGATGAGGTCTCGATCTTGCTCAGGGTGGTCTCGAACTCCTAACCTCAAGTGATCCTCCTGCCTCGGCCTTCCTGAGTGCTAGGATTACAGGTATGAGCCACCACGACCGGCCTCCACTGAAGTTTAATGCTCAGCATAACACACACAGTTACTTGAAGGGGAGAAAAGATTTATCTTCATCTTTGTGTTAACAACGAGGAAAAATCCGTAAGCCTAAAAGAAGGTGCAACGATAGAGCTTCTTAAAGAGATCTTACTCACAATCATAGCTGAAGCTCGGTAAATTAAACAGTTTTTAAATGAAAGAACACAGTAGAGTAGTAGAATATGGCTAAAGACAGAAGGGGCTTATTGAACCACAAAGATAATATTCCCCTAGGCTTAGCTTTCCGTTGGTTTATTCAATAAAAGCACAGAAGAAATATAATGCAAGAGGATTTAACTGTGCAGGGAGACTTGAAATGCATTTCAAAAAGTGTGTTTCACCAAGTAAAAGAGTGGCAGGAGGAAGATTTTTGGTGCAGAAAATAAACATAACTACTTCCTCTATTCAGCTCATCTCTCGCTCTCAGCTCCGCCAAGTCTATCATCAGAACTGTATCACTCGGGACATCTCAAAATCGCACCCGTGCTCCCGGGGCCCCGCCTGTGACCCTCGCCTGAACTTTGACTGGCTCGGCACTAACGCGTGCTGTCGCTGGCAGCGGCACGGAGACATGATGCTCTGAAGACTGGCGATTGCGCCAGCCAAGCGCACAAGTGCTCAGTGTTTCGTCACCCTCCATCAGTCTGTCTAGGATTGTGACACTGCTTCTCCGATGACTCCAAACACCAGCATGTACCAACAGGGCACACACCCCCGAGTCCTGGCTACTCACACGTGGAGTCAGGCCGGGAGCAGAGGTGCACACTGTCCCCAGCTGTGGGATGAGCACACGCAGAACAGCACACGGCAGAGCCTAAATCAGAGCTCGCATTGTCCTTTGCTCACGCACCTGTTTCAGCATTTATCACAGTGGCCTGTCAGATGCCTGTCTCCCCATGAGGACCGTGTCTTTCTTAACCATCTTTCGATCCCATGTCAACCTGCGTGTCACAGATGCTCAGTAACTGCCAGAGTCATCTCCCACTTTCACATGCTGAAAGGAAGGGCAGCCACTCTGAATGAAATAGGGCAAATTTCGTAGGCACCCGCCTTCCTCTAAACTATTATGATTTATAGTTTTCCCCTCCTGTTCATTTTCACTCTTTCCTGCAGGTACCATGGAAAAGATTAAGACAAAAAATAGAAAAGGCAGATGTATGACAAATAATGATACTACTAATCATCCAACGGTGAAAGTATTCATAAAGTTCTCACTTCCATATCGGCTGAAAAAAAAAACTAAACCCATGTCACTAAACACCCTCATCTAGTGATTTTTTAAAATCTCTTCAACCTACCAAATTGAAATACCGGTGTCCTTTTAAATTCATTGCCTGAGACGTGCACAAGCACTCTAATCCACAGGGCCCAGAGAATTTCACTCAAGAGCAATGACAGCACAAAGTGTCACCAAGCACAACAGAAAACCAGCAAAACGTTTGTTCTCTCTTTAAATCATAAAGATACACATTTAAAAATAAAAAAATTATTAGATCTGCTATATCTGAGAGAAAGTATCTAGCAATAAAAAGCCTGAGATATCCAACCTTGGTAAAAATGTTATTGGTGATAGCACTTTGGTGTTTAAGTATACACCATGAAGCTCTACTAGTTGCTTCAATCATTTGTTGAAGATAATAATTATACAAAAATGCTCAAATGTTTTCGGTTAAATACTTTATTTCCAAAACTCACTAGAGTATACAATTTCTACAGTTCCTTTTAGACGAGACTCCAGAAAACAAATTCCTTCTAGTGAAGTGTTTGACAGCTTGACCATTTTTAATCCTAAATCAGATGGGCACGAAATTGTTTCTAGGTTATTTTTGAAAAACACAAAAAGGCTTAGCCTTTTCATTAAGTCTAGTGGTTTATTTCTTCTTTATTGCATAGCCATCACTACCATGGAAGTCTACCCCCCTATAAACCCAGTGGCTTAAACAATTCCTAAAATTCTTACCCCGAGTGAAAGGGTTAATTCAAACAGAGGCAAAGCACACAAACAGCGGCAGGGGGGCAGGGGCCCGTTGGCTTGCTTGATTTGTTAGCTCACTCCTACCAGAAGGTAACAAGTGTCATATGGGAAAAAGGGTATCCTGGTCAAACGAGTTTAAGGAACACTGGGTTAAGTAAAAGTAAGCCTGCTTCTTTACTGCAGGACTCTTCTGAGCCTTGTTGCTGTGCAACAGCACTCTCCAAAAGAAAAGTATAGTATGTGATGATTCCCAAGCTTATTTCACTGGGAAATTATTTTTGTTTCATGTATTACCAACTAGTCTCCAACAGAAAAGAGTATTTTGAGCAACATACTTTTTGAGAACTGATAGTTAGAAGTTAAAATAAGACATTAATGAAACCTCAATAACAGGTTTTAACTCTCAGGTAACCCAATTAGCTTTTGTTTTTGTTTTTGCATCGACTACATCTTTAAAACCATAGGGCAGACATCTTCAAACACATGCCCTCAGAAAGGAACACAATCCCTGCAAGGACACACAGATGAACACACATTACCACTTTCACAATAAAAAGTCAATCAAAACTCAGGCAGCTGCTATTTTGCATGGAGGACAGAATTATGAAAGAGCCAAGGCCCACAGAACACACTGCTCTCTGCATAGCTCAAGTTCAGACTGCGTAGGCCCAATTTGAATATCGTAACAAGCACAGTGAAATGCAAGACTTACCGAGGGAAGCTGAGTTTTTAAGAACCGACTCCTTTGGGGCTCCTTTTTCAATTCGTATTGTGGCCCACTGTTCAAAAACAAGAAATATTCATTTAAACTGTCCGACAGATACAATGTAGAATACTTAAACCATGATTATATGCAAATGAATTTAAACATTAAGCCCTGGAAGTATTTGAATTAAAGAGATGCCCCAGTGAATCTCTGATGTAGCAGTACTCCAAGTCGCAAGTATGCTTTTACATTAGTTACTGATGATCCGCTAATAAAATAAGGAAAGAACAATATGTACCCTTTCTCAACCTCCTCGCATGCATCTTAATAAATTACTCCTTGAAAGGACTGGGAAGCACGGTGGGCAGGAGTACAGGTTACAGCAGCAAGAATGTCACTCAATCCCTGCAGCCCTCAGTTTCCTCATTGTAAAATGAGGATAGCAGTTCCTATGCCATAGGGCTGCTGTCAGGATTAAATGAGATAATACATGGAAATACCTATACATAGAGCAGAAAGTGTGACACTTATTTTCTTAACTAATTAGGCACTTAGGGGTAAAACACACTCCAAAAGGCATCCAGATACAAGTTTGTTTGCATCAGAAATCAGCTTGCAGAAAGAGGCAGCACAAACTTGGAAAGCTGGACAGACCTTGGTGAAATCATAACTAAAGAAAACTCTCTGTCCAGCTGGGTACTTACCTATCACGATGTATATGGAAAGTGTTATCATTATGAAGATCTATAGATTTGAGAAGATTTAAAGAACTGGAACAACAACTCTCACATTATTTTAAATGTACATAAGCGTGTAAAGAAATATCCCAACACGTGATTTTAAAATTTTCTTAAATGCCTTTTTTATGCATTTCCAAAGTTATTTACCATTAACATCATAGTTCAAAAACTGCAAGTGATTTTTTCAACTCAGCATTCTAGAGAATACCAAGGGCTCTTTTTCTGGTTAGAAAATAAGCAATTAAAATTCTACCTAGAGGATTACAATTTCAGAAGCTAACAGTGCCTAAATTGATTAATTTAGGATAAGGGAGCAAAAGAAGAGGTAAAAAGCATTATAATATTTATAATTGGACATAATCATCCTTAAAGGGGCAAAAAGACAGATTTATTAGTATGTCAAGGCAAAAACCTCAGCTCTTGCTAGGCTCAGAAGGGTTTGTTAACCAGAGAGGTTAAAAAATTTAAATAAAGAAGAAAATAACTGATAGAGAATAAATAACCTAAAACAGATACATGAAGGTCAAGTAGTAAGGCCTGATTTTACTATGTCAGGTCGCTGCTCAACAACACAAAGAGCCAAATGGGAACATGCCATTTGCACTTACAGAACAGCCTATAAATAGAGGCCTGATCTTCTGGGTTTCTAGTGACAAGTCACTAATGGCAACAGGACTGAGTCTTAATCTGATTGCATCCCGTTACCTTTTTGCTGATTGGGTGCACAAGTTCTCACACTCTGGACTTCTACCTCCCATCTTTTCTCATTTGAGGTAAAGGTTTATGTCCACAGTTTTTCACTTAAAGCTTTGGCACCTATTATCATTTATAAGCAAACCAAAAGTATTAAAGTAAAATTTTGTAAACAATCAATCATTGTTCATCTCAGAGCTCACCTTTTCTATTATGGACATGTGATTTTACATTGCATACAAGTAGTAATTACCTTAGACCAGAACAATTACTCCATGCTTATATAATGAAAAATACTGGTATTTTGTGGCCGTTACAGGCTGAATTATGTCCCTCCAAAATTTGTATGTTAAAGCTCTAACTCCCAATACCTCAGAATATGACTATATTTGCAGACAGCGTCTTTAAAGAGGTGATTTAGTTAAAATGAAGTCATCGGGATGGGCCTTAATCCAATCTGACTGGTGTCCTTATAAGAGGAGGAAATTTGGACACTAACGAGATACCAGGAATGTGAGCACAGAGAAAAGGCCGTGTGAGGACACAACGAGAAGGTGGCCACCTGCAAGCCTCGGAGAGGGGCCTCAGAGGAAACCAACCTTGCTTACACCTTGATCTTGAACTTTTAGCCTCCAGAACCGCGAGAAAATAAACGTGTGTTGTTTGGCCACCTGCTCTGTGGTACTTTGTTACGGCAGCCCTAGGAAACTAATACAGTGACATTCCTCAGATAGCATGATGTGCTGCAAAGATCTCCATGTTCTGCCACCAGGCGAGTCTCCCAATACAAGCTACTCTCCCGAAATAGTAGCTCCAGAGCTGTACCCTGCAAAACACAGCTAAGCAGAGTTTAAGGCTGGAGAGGCAGCCAGTTAATGCCAGAGGGAATTCGCACTAGAAAACCATCTTCTTGTGTAGGTTAATACTCCAGTGAAAGTGAAAACACGCCTGTGCTTTGCAGCTGGACAAATGTACACGTGAATTCCAGTTCTGCCACTTCCTGGCTGTGATCATCTTAGACAAGAGACTTTAACATTTGGGGTCACCCATTTTCTCATCTCTAAAATGGGGGACAAACCAAGGGTGGTTGTAAAGATTAAAGGAGATAATCTATCCGGTGCCCACCACACAGGAGGCCACAAAGGAGAAAAGTAGCTTCCTCCTCCCTTCCCACATTCCATACTTTATTTAGGCCCCAAAAATGACCACGTTTTTCTAGAACATCAGTACATCTCCCAAGAAATAGCTATTTCTCTTTTGCCATGCCAGATTCTCTAGCCAACCAGGTAAATCCAAATACAAATGCAGAACATCTCTTCTAGGGGTTCTGAAACTCTTCCAGAGGTATCTCAGAACGCATCTGCCTTGAGGCAGCAACAGGGTCCTGAAGTACAAAGGGGGCTTCTAACAACCCCTGTCACTACTCCCCACCTCCCCTCTGCCCCTCAAGGAAAGCTGAAGGACGCTTATCACTCAGATTCTCTCTCCGCTTAATTTTCACATCCTCTTGGCAGGAAAAAGGTAGCCATGCAAAATTCACAAAAAAAGAAATGGTTTCGAGTCTGATTTTTAAAGCTTAAGCCAAAAGCTTGCAAAATTGTGACACTGTCACCTAGATAATTACAATTTCCAATTTTCACACTAGAAAGACATTTAAGGATTGACTAAAGAGAAGAAGAGAGAGAAGGAAAAAATCCATAAAATTATATAAAAATTCTAATTATTAGACTTACTAAAATAACTGCCAGCCACCATCTATAACAAAATAACACGGTTTCTTGGCAGAGGTGGGCTTCTTGGCAAACTAAGAACTCAGGCTCCAGATTTAAAAAATTAAAACCCTGATTCCACCATTGACAGCTGTGTGCCTCCTCCCAGACACATTTCCTCTCCGAACCTCCGTTCCCCAGCCTATCAGTGGGAGCGGTAACAGACCCTATCGCAGAGGGCTGCTGTGGCCTGACGGTCAATGACAAGCACGTTGCTTTGGTATTTTGGTATTTTCTTTATTGTTACTGTCCCTCATCAACAGCCATGGCATTCTACCACATTCACAGCATTTCCAACATCAGAGACAGTATCTCCCGAACTGTAATTCACATCTGAGAATTACTGACATGCCTTTTTAAAAAGATGGAAAAACTAATTGGTGGATGAAGAAGAGGGTAAAGGGAAGGAAAATTAACACAAAGGGTAAGAAGAGTCTGCTCTGAGTACATCTGTTGACTCATCAAAGATCCAAAGGTAGGTGAAATCTTAGCCTCGTACGAGAAAAAAAATATCAAAAAAGCAACAGCAAAGAGTGTTCCAACTCATACTCCACTAAGATTTGAGGACCTACACGTATCAAGTGCTTAGCCCTATGCGGAATATCCCTATATACCTTTTTCCATTCTTTATTTCCCTCTAATCATGAACCTTCAGCCAACAAATGGCAATCCTTCCCCACCCTCACCCCCATCGTTAACCTTACAATTAACTTTCAAGGTTAAGAGCAGCATCTTTCAACACTGAATCCATGCTCCTGTTTGACAAACATAAAGACTTCATACACATCCCCTCCCAGAGATTCTGACCCTATACCCTACCATCCAGATGGATTACCCTCTACACATCACTTCTACCAAAAGTTTTATTCTTCAGAGTTTCTACTCCTAAAACAATTTTCTCTATTATAAATTTATAATATGGGCAAACATACGCCTAACATGTTATCACTTACCCCTTGAAAATCACTGGTTTAGAGAATCACTAGACTTAGTCTAAGCTAAGCATTCAAGCCTTATCCTCGAGCAGCTGCCATATCAGGGACTTACGCACACAACTGGAGATATGCAGCAAAGCAGAGCAAGGCATGCAGTAGGTGCTCAATAAATGATTACTGGCTGAACTGGTAAGCTAAGAAGGGGTCAGAGAAGAGCGTATAGCTCAGTGAGTTACTTGATGAGTTAACAGTTACCAAAGTCAGCTATTCAGAAGGTACCCTACACACATTTCAACTTCTAGAATTTGAGTTTATGGCCATGAAAAAGCCATCTGTTGACAAGAAAACTTGTCAAAATAAACACATAATGGACAAAACTAAATGACCTTTTAAAATGGTATGTAAATTATAACCAAAGGAACTTGAGAAACACCCAATTCTGATCAGAGCCCAAAGAATATTTCTGGGAATGAAATGTAAAGAAAGAAAGGATCCAAACAGTTAAGAACTTACTAAAGAGTAGTGAGTGACAGAAGGGCTGGGCCTTGAATGGAATTTACAGAAAGGCAGGGTATTTGTTCTGCACTAAGGATGTTCTAATGCTAAACATCAGCATAATTTTTAAGGGAATTATTCCTGTAGTTGGGAAAAGCAATCTACTGTATTGACCCCAGCCTAATAGAAATGTGTTGGAAACATGGAACACTGTTCTAGTTGAAGGATGGAAAATCCTGAGTTGCTATGTCCCTCTCCTGTGCCTAAAACAGAAAAATCGGTGAGATCACTGCTCTGTTTCCTGATGAGCCTAGTTGTTGCCAACACAGGAGCTCCAGGCGGCCACAGCCAACAAATCAGAGGTGGCTCATAAAATGAATCCCTATTTGAAATCCACGTATGCCAAACATCTCTCTGACCTAATAACTTAGTCTTAGCAAAGAGGGTGGTTTCTTATGCTGCCACCTACCTGGTTTTCAAGCTAAGTGGTATGTATATCTGCCACTACATTTGCTTAGATTTGGTACCAAAATCCCAGCTGTGTTTCTTCCTATGTGGCCTTAGGGAGGTCACCTCCTTACTGTGCCTCAGTGGCTTTCTTAAGAGTTTAGTTAACAAGGAGTTCATCTCTGAAAGTCTCTTCAACACTAGATGGACAAAAATTAAAACTTGGGGCCCTGTCGAGCTGAAAGTCAGATCCTGGACTGGAGATAATCCCATCAAGTATAGCAATTTGCCAGGCTGAGAGCAGCTAGCTGGCCGCCCTCCTTGACATCCCTTTGGCTGTCCCTTGAAGTAGGGAAGCAAGCCAGCCACGAGTGAGCACCCGGAAGCCAACGCGTGTGATGCACCTTCACTCCATCCTCACGTGGGGCATAAATTCCAAAGACACTGCTGTATGGGAGAACAGTTCGATCATTTCAGAGATCTGAGAAAGTGGTAACACCCTCTGAAGACGGTCATCTGCTATAGGGAGAGTCTTCAAAGAAGCTCCAACAGTAGGAGGCAGCTAAGAAATTCACGGTATGAGCAAACTCAGAATGTAAAGTCAATAAGAAAAGTGCAAAACTGAGCACTAGCTCCCAAGTAGAAACAATAGAACTTTAAAAAAAGAAGAGAAGAATCGAATGTAAGTTCAAAGACTAGGCAGAGAAATAGCCATGAAGAGAAAGTTCCACAAGGATGTCGTAAAACAGGAGGTTGGTAGGTGGAAGCCAGTCCCATGTATACCTGGGAGCTACCCCACTAGCTCAGGAAGAAACGCAGATAAAGCCATGTCCTGAGGCACATAGAAAACAAGGACAGAAAATGGGAGCCCCTATCAGAAGGCCCTGCGGTATGCTAGAATCTAAGAAATCATATTGTATTATTCTTTTAACAGCAGCAAACTGTTTTACAGCACCTAACACGCAGGTACCCTTCTAGGGTGCTTGATACATGTTAACTCATTTAAACAACCCTATGGGAACAGGTGTTATCTATCCTATTCTATAGACAAGGAAAATGAGGCACAAGTAGGTGACCTCCCTAAAGGTCACCTATAGAGAAACAGAGCTGGGATTTTGGTACCAAATCTAAGCAAACCTGTGTCCAGCATTTGCACTCCTAGCCACTAGGCAGTAGGGCCTCTTCTCAGTTAAGACTCCTGTTTCCAACACTTAATTCAAATAAACCACTGAACTTCTCTGAGTCTCAGTTTCTGTGTCTGTAAAGGAGGGATAGCACTTGCCCTCCCTACCTTACAAGGCCTTTGACACTTAACAAAACCGCGTGTAAGGGTAAGCTGCAGTTGTCCCCTACTAGGCCCACTGCCACCTAACACCTTGCTTTGCAGAATTTGGAAACAGGAGTGTAGGGAGATCTGATGTCAAAGAATATGCCTTTTCAATGGCATTTCAAGTGCTGTTGGTTAGATAAAATTTCCATGACTCCACTAAAATAAAATCAGATTTCTTTCTGCCATCCAGCAATTGGTCTCTTATCTTGGGCACAAATCAGACTACGATGCCTTTCTGGACAGGATGCCTTAGTACACGAAAGGACCTCTCCAACCTGGGGCTGTAAACACTAAGGAGAATGAAGTCACGGCTGCACTGCAAAATGGATATAGACGAATCTGCTGATACAAAAGGCGGGCGCATTGTTATTCTAATCAGTAAAATAATGATGATGATAGACCGTGGGTGAAGCAGTTTTGCCTTCAACCAGAGGAACAAGAGGGTGGTCCAGGGGTCTCAGCCCGGATCCTCCAGCTCCGCGGGGGAAACCGAGACGCTGTTTGCGCGCAACCGCGGACAAGAATCCGAGACATACCAACCCAGTGACCGCAGACCTCTGACCTTGAGACCCTGACCCTTCGCATCGCCCCGGCTCTCACAGCTCTACGCTGGGCGCCCACGGCCCCGGCGTGTCCCTAAAGGCCCCAGAGGTGCGCACCCCCCGGACACTCACCTCTAAAGTCTTCACCAGGATCTTCATGTACATCTCCGAGATGCCCAGGGACACGCCGAAGGCCGACGGCAGAAGGATGAAGCCGAGAACCAGCGTCAGCCAGGTGGACAGGATCTTCCCGGCCAGCTCTGCGCCCTCCATGGCTCGGAAAGGGCGCCGCCGTGGGGTCCGAGCGCGACCGCAGTCCCCGTCCCCGGGCAGGTCGTCCCGCGCAGTCAGCGCCGCCGCCCGGCACTCACCTCTGCGGGGGGCGGAGGGGGGAAGAGAGGAAGGAAAAAACTTTCAAAACTACGACAATGTCCTTCCTTCCTCCGCGGAGGACTCCCCGGCCCGGCCGCTGCACTCCTCCTCCGCCGGCGGCCCGGGCCCGAGGCCCCCCGGCGCGCGCGCACCTGGGCAGTGGGGCGCGAGGGCGCGAGCCGGGGCTGAGCGCAGGGACAGCGCGGCGGGCGGTGCCTGGTGTGCCCCGGGCTGCGGTTGCGACAACGCGGCGGTGACTCACCGAGGCCCTCCCGGAGCGAGGATCCCGCCGCAGCCCCGCACTTGGGCACGGGCCGCGCGCGCCACTATTTCAGCGCGCTGCCCTCGCCCCGCCTCCGCCGCCAAGGACGGGGACCCCCGCGGCCGCGGCCTCCTCCTCCTGCCCGGGCCCCGCCTCCCCGGCTCCCGGCCAAGGTCCTTCCAGGCGCAGAGATTCCGTCTGCAAAGTGTTGGCATTTGCTCCACCCGCAGCAGGAACTGCTGCCGTCCCCCGGACGCTGGAGCAGCTCTCGTGTGTGTGCTGCGAACCGCCTCTCGGGAAGGGCTTTCAGGACAGGACAACGCAGGGCACGGCGAGCAGCCGTCTACGCCTCCTTCTCCCCCCTGCGAGCTGCGGGGCGCAGCCCTGCTTATCCGGGGAGTGGAAAGCTCTCTCCGCGAGTCTCCCGAGCCACTCAGCTGTCACCTCCCTGCCACAGAAACCCTTGGGCTGAGTGTCTGTCACCCCTGTCCTGGGGGAAGATTCCAACCGCGGCTTCCCCTGCCGTTCATCCAGCACCCAGCGCACGGGCGTCGCAGGGTCGCCAGGCCGAGCCCCGTGCACCGCGCCCACGCGCCCCGGGTGCTCCAGCTCTGCGCGCTACCGGGCCAGCCCTTATCAGAGCCAATCGTGCGCGTGTACGTACTCCCTTGCAGCTCATGTCTCCCAGAGACCCGAACTGTTTGTAAGAATGAGCATGAGAAGGGATGTTGAGGACTGCAGTAGATAAGAAAATCAGGTTGCCCAGGGTTTCCAGAGTAACTTTTTTTTTTTTGAAACTGGGTCTTGCTATGTTGCCCAGGGTGGTCTCGAACTCCTGGGCTGAAGCAATCCTCCCGCCTCAGCCTCGTGAGTAGCTAGGATTACAGGCACACGCCACCGCGTCTGGCTGAAAATGGTTTTTGTGTTTGGGTTTGACGAAGAACGGAGGGCCATGTAGAAATGTGACTGGACAGAAGGCTAGAACCTAATGGCAAAAGAGTGAGGGGGAAACCCAGCAAGGCCTGTCTGTCCGGATTCTTCTGGCTCTCTGTGCAGCATTCCTTCCTCCAGCGTATGGGCCAGGACCCCTCTGGAATGAGGGTCCTCAAGGGAGAACAGAGAGTGAACTGTCTAGGTTTTATGGCTTGCTTTGGGGACGGGGTTCTAGTCTATGACCCACTTGGGGGAGAGGAATTATGACCCACTTGGGGGAGAGGAATTCTGGTTTCTGTGAATTGCTTCAGGAGAAGAAGACAGGAGAATGGGAGAAGGTCAGAGAGACCTTGCTTCTGGGGCCTTCCAATCTCCTTTAGTTCACAGGACTCAGCATGCGAAAACGCCATTCTTTGGGGTATCATGTTCTGAGTCCCAACAACTGAATCCCCGGAAGAAGTTAAGTTTTTCTTTTTCTTTTCCTTTCTTTTCTCTTGTTCCTTTCTTTCCTTCTTCCTTTTTAAAAGATTAGAGAAGGAGTTTGACGGCCAAGCACCCTGTGTCGCCAGGACAATACTAGGACCAAAAACCTACTATAAACTTTGACACCTTTGGGAAGAAAAAAGAGATAATGACAAAGGAGAGAAAAATTGAAGGATAATAAACATGTTGATAAAAGTTTCCATTAAGGAACTTCTTCCTCAGGAAGTCTGAGTTGCACTATCTCCAGCAATATCCACCCTTACATAACCTACCAATCTTCTCAAAATATTTCTCCAATTTTGGAAGAATCATTACATTAGTATAATAGCCACTGAAACCTTTAACAGGTCTTTTAATTGACTTTATATTAGAATTTTCTGGATGATAGCAACATTTTGCTTAGATGCTGATATGATATCTAGCTTTCTGACCTCAGCTGAGTGGGTAAGACCCTCCCTCACCTCTGTAGTCCAAGTATTGTAATCACATCTACACATACACAAACACACATATACAAGAGTTGGCCGGGCGTGGTAGCTGTAATCCCAGCGCTTTGGGAGGCCAAGGAGGGACGATTGCTTGAGGCCAGGATCAGCCTGGCCAACATAAGTGAAACCCCTACCAAAAATAAGAAAAATTAGCCAGGCATTGTGGCCCACACCTGTAGTTCTAACTACCTGGGAGGCTGAGGCAGGAGGATTGCACTCCAGCCTGGATGACAGAGCAAGATCCTGTCTCAAAAAAAAAAAAAAAAATCATGACAGTTATCTTCAATTAATGGATTGATGTCACCACCCTGTAATATATTATGCCAAAGTTCATTTGTGCGCTTTGAGCAGGTCTCAACTAGCTGACAGCAACAATTAAAAAGAAAACAACTTGCTGACTAATTAGTAGCTTAAATGTACTCTGGCCTCTGTTAAAAAATAAAATCTCTTCAATTACCATGATTACTATTATAACACATTCCTATTGTCTATAACGCTTCAACCATTACTCTTTATTTTTCCCTTCCTGATATCTCTTTCCTGAAGTCCTGATGGAAAAACACTCTCCTCACGGAACGAGAGTTTAGCTGGGCAAAGCTCGAAACAGGTAGTAGCATGTAGGACCTAATTCCCCAGCACAATTCCTATGCTTCACTTATTTCTACTATTCCTATTGTTATTTTAACAAAAATGTTTTTGTTTTTATTCGCATTTTAATCTATCAGATATTATTTTCACTAGAAGACTAACATTTTGGGCAGGACTTCAACATAAATGCAAAAAAAAAAAAACCCAACTGACCAATCGGATTGTCCCTCCCAGCAAGTAAGGATTTGTAAATTATTTGTAAATAATTGGAGCCTCATTGAAGTCAGCCAGACTCATCCTCCTACCTAAGGGTAGAAAGGCTAGAACAACGGACAGGTTTGGCTGGGCTGCAGGATCACTCTGTCAGTTCCACTCACTGCCTGTAGAGGGCGAAACGAGGTAAGCTATGGCTGCGGGGCAGGAGAGTCAGGCCAGACACAGCCTTTGGAACCTAACAACCCATTTGCTAATCAGATGAATGAGGGATAAGTGGACAAGGAGTGGAAAGGGAGTTCTTTTGGTTCTTCGCTGAGTGGGCAAACCCGTTGGGGAAATTCTTTCTCCTGTGGGCTGCTGAGACAGAAACCTGCTGGGAGGCAAAAGAGGGTCGGCCCATTTTCTCCTGGTCCTGAAATCTAAAGAAAGATCAAACTAAACCAAAAACAGAAAGGAAAAAAGAGCAACAGCAGAATTAACGTATTGTTAGGATCTCTAAGCACATGGAGAAGTTTAGCCAGCTGACAATAAACCGTACCCCTCAGCTATCAAATTGTAAAATGAAACCCCAGACCAGCTCCTTACCTGGAGATGGGGCCAAGCTGAGCCTGCTGTCCATCGTCAGGGAAGCGGGTAGCTTGCGTTCCTTATCAGAAGCGAGCAAAATTCCCCTACAGGAGTTCCATGGTGGAATAAACCTCACATCTCAACCAAAACGTTGGGAAATTGAGGATCTCTGGAGAGAGCTGCCCCAACCTCAGCAAATTGCCCAACTGGCCGGAGCAGTAAGGAGCTCTAGCTTGGTACCAAAAGCACCAGTTGGAAAGTCACTACAGGTTAAGAAAGTCAAAGTCGTCTCAGAGGTTCCTCTTAGTGGTCGTCATTTGTCAACCCAAATAAATGACTGAGGCAAACGTCTCAATCAATGGAGGTTTACTAAGCCAAGATTTTGAGGACGCGCCTGGGAAAAACAGTTGGGAGTCACATGACCTGAGTCTTAACTACGCATGCAGGTTGTTCTAGGTCGATTTCCGGACTCTATGGTACCTATGCCGCTTGGCCGGCGGGCTAGAGAGTCCTCTGCATTCTTTTGCAGCTGGCGCGCTGAGTTCTGATTGGCAGATTCGCAGGGTGTTCCCTCCTCCCCCAGGTATGAAGAATTAGGGTGTGGCAGGACCAAGATGGCGCAACAGCACCCACCTTCTCCAACCCTAGGAAATCCAGAATTCTTATCTGCCTAACAGGACTCCTCCAACTTCCAAAGAATCATTTACAAGCCATTGTTTATCTCTCAGGATCAGCCAAAGAATCATTTGTTACCCCTCGAAATGACCTACATTCCTCCATCTTCCTCTCCCCTCAAAACCCAAAATATGTGACTGAGGCAACGAGCTCAATTAGTGGAGGTTTATTAAGCCAAAATTTGAGGATGGGCCCAGGAAAAGCACAAACCGCATACGCATCTGTAGCTTGTGCTCTCCGAAGAGGGATTTGCGAACTCAGCATTGAAGGGAAGAGGGCACACGGAAAGGACAAGGAGGAAAAAGGCGGGCAGTGAGGCAAACGCTTACACTTTACCACTTATGCCAAACGATTAGCACAGTGTGATTATACCTATCATTAAACTGCCAGAATGTTAAAAATCTATGTATTGTTTAAATTAGACTGACTCCTTAATGTTCTAACAGCAAGCAAGCAAACAAAAACACAAATGAAAGGTACCGAACACACATACATACACACAGACATGACTGGAGAGTTCTAGAAGAGAGAATCCCGGAGGTGGTTATCAGTACTCTAGAAGTTTCAACGGATGAAAGCCACTGAAATGCAGTTTGAAAACCAAAAACGTGGCACATCCATTGTGGTATTATTACAATGTTGCTAAGCAATTCCTTTATTCTTGTAACCCTTGTTTGTCTTAAAATCACCAGGTCAACAGTGCTCATTTTGATAGTTTTGCACATATGCCACGGGTCGCTCAGCAGCACCTGGCCACCGAAACGCGGCCAGTGGACCTCCGAAGCTGCGCCCACAAGGAGCGGCCTCCAGCGCGAAGCCGTCAACGGAGGCGAAGGACAGACTCCGGGCGCGCCGCACAGAAAGCGCGCGCAACCAGCCGCGCCGCCCACAGCCGCTCCGCCAAGGCCTGTCCCGCCCACCCGCTCCGGGGCGCGCTGCGCTCGTGCGCCGCCGAGGCCCCGCCCCCTCGCTGGGCTCCGCCCCTACGCGGAGCGCGCCTCTCCTGTGCACCCGCGCAAGTCCCGCCCCCTGTCTCGGCCACGCCTCGCAGCCGCGCCGCGTCAGGTTCCGGGCCCGCCGCTTCCAGCCCCGGTCGTCTGGCGCGGCTTGCGGCGGCGGCGGCGGCGCCATGGAGGGCGAGAACACGTCGGCGGTGCTCTCGGGCTTTGTGCTCGGCGCGCTCGCCTTCCAGCACCTCAACACGGACTCGGACACGGTGAGCTGAGGGGCGGGGTGGGGTGGAGTCCGGCGTCGCCGCCGAAGAGCCCCGCGCGCGGCCTCCTTCCCGCCGCGGTGGCCCCAGTCCTCGCCCGCGAGCTCCCCGACGCCGGCCCCGGCTGTCGCGGCTGTGCCTCGTTCCCGCCTCTGCGGTCCTTGAGGCGGCCCTGCCCTCGAAGCCTCTGCCAAGATCGGCCTCCTTTTACCCGCTGTCTGCTTCCTTCCCCACCGCCCGACGCGCCCCGGTCTCTCTTTGCGTCGGTGCCTTTTTTCTGATCAGACTTGGGCGTGAAAGGACAGAAAGTTCCCAAAGTTCCGCCGCTGCCGCCGGGAGGGTCGCGGGTAAACTTTCCGCTTCTCCTGACTCCGGGCAGCTGTTTGCAAAGACGGCTGTGAACTTTTCCGTGCAGAGCAGCGCCTGTGCGTGTTTGTTGAAATGGTAGGGAAATAAAACATGGATGTTGCATCCAGTCGCTGTTTTTTGGCAAATCTTAGTGCATTAAAAAAAATTTGGTGTTTCGGGTATCTGACTTTGGTTTGCATTGCTGTTAGATTTGTTAAAATCGTAAGGCCTCAGCTAGTTCCTTTTCTGATACTTTATAATTTAAACATTAAATTGACCCTCAAATGTTAGACATTTAAATGTTTGTCTTATATTTTTGTCTAGGTTCAGAACCTCTGGATGAAGCTAAGAAGAAGTTTTTTAATTGCAGTGCCTGTTTTCTAAAACTTTTATGATGTTAAAAAACAAAACACACTAAAACTTTTGAGCTGGGGAAGTAGTGCCCTGTAGTAAGTGCTTAGTAACTTGCTGGAAGAAATGAGAAGCATCTAAAACACATCTCTCTGCTAATGCAGTTTGGGGAACACCATACTGAACGGTGCCTAGTAATCAATTTCGTGCTCTTCATTTCGAAATATAAAGTCTCTCTTACTCAAAATTGCTTTTTAGCACAAGCCTAATAAAGGTTGGAATTAGTGTATTTTATGCATACGATTTCAGATGACCTTACAAATTAACACCTAGCAAAAAGCAGATATATGACAGTTTAAGATGTGTGTGACTGTGGAAATTGTTTTTGAATGTCTTCAGTGAAAATATAAACAGGGTGGGTCCTTAAATCCTCTGTAGCCTAAAGGATTATCCCATGTAAAGTACCTTAGTGTTAGAGACGACTGTTTCTCGGATCTTTTTCTTAAAGTTTTTAAATGGTGGTTTTCTGGATAGTTGGTGATTTTCTGGATAGTTGCACTTGCATTATCCCTGCTTCCTTTCCCCGGGTTTGTCCTTGGGAGTGTCAAAATCAAGAACACCAGAATGTACAGTTCTGGATTTTTTTCCCCCTTGATTCCAGTAAAGACTCACATTGTGGAAACTTTTCCTTTTATGCTCCTTCTCCTTTAGTTAAATGAAAAGAAACAAGCATCATTAACTAATTATAAAAAATATAAAATCTTAATTGTCAAGCACATTGGGTCTTTAAATGTGCCTAGAGAAATAATTGAATTCTCCAAAATTCAAAGAAATCACCACTGAAGTGGCAAAATGCCTGTAGTTTTAAAAGAAACTGACTCACAGCATCCCTTCTAGAAAGCAGACTCTGAAATTGAATTCCAAATCTTTAACTTTCATATTTTGCACAATTTTTAATCAGAAAACACTGATCATTGTGTCATTTCATGGGTTGGAAGCCTCCACTAACTCCCAGCAGCATGCGGGGTTACATGTAGACTCCTTGGCTAATCATGTGGGATGCTCCATCATGGGCTCCATCTTACTTATCTTTGATTTCCTTACTCATAAATAGCCTTCTGCTCCAAGGCGAACTGCTTCTACGGTCCCTCAAAAATCGTACGCTCATTTCTGGCTTTTAGCCTTCTATGCTTCCCAGTGTGCTAAGTGTTCCTTGCTGTGCCTGCACATACACTGCCCAGCCCTTTCAAGTCTACTCTATTCTTGCCTCCACAGGGTCTTCTACAATTACTTCAGGCCTTGTTAATCTCTTTCCCTTTCGAAAATCACAGTGGTATTTACAATCTATTCTCATTTTTATCTAGCTTCATGTTTCCCAAGTAAACTGGAAGTACCTCGGGTTTTTTGAGTGCCTCCCCGCCCCCAACTAATAGCACACACTTGTAAACATCGCGAAATACTCAGAAAATATTGGTTAGTTCAGTGGTCTGAACAGTAATTCTATCAATGTATTCCATATACTGCCTCTTATTTTTATCCTCATAGGAAGGTTTTCTTCTTGGGGAATTGAAAGGTGAAACCAAGAATCGCATTACAGATGCCCAAATGGATGATGTTAAAGTTCTTTATACAGTTGGTGAGTCACTTGTTTCTGTGTGTCCTATTTTTGATAGTTTATGCTGAAAGAGATCAGCATAAATTACTGGTTTTAAATTGTTAAACTAATTTTAAAAGCAGAATTTAAAAGAGTATATAACACTCATTTCTCGGTTAAAATTGGTGGCCATGGACAGGTCTAAAATAAGAAACAGTATGAGACATAGGAAGCAGATAAGATTCCTGCAGGGAAACTAGGATGAAACAAATATCTGCTGTTCAGGTGGCAGGAAGATGCCCAGCAATAGGAAAACCGAGGAAAATGATAAAATGTTAAATGCTGCAGAAAAGATGGAAGATGAGAACTGACAAAACTCAGTGATTAGATGATTAGATTACTGAAAATCTTCAGAAATTTCTGGAGTGTAATGGGGAAAAGACCAGACCTCAGTGAGTTTGAGGAATGGGTGATAAAGCATTTACACCTGGTGGCAGCTGTTCTTTGAGGGGAGGCTGGAGGCAGTGGGAAGGAGAGAAATGTATAGGGAGTTTTGTGATCGGAAATTATATATTTTTTCTAAGCATTTTTTTAACAAAATTAGTGGTATACTTTATTAAAAGTTTGGTATCATGACATGTGTCTTGACCATTTTTGCATATTAAATGATGCTCTGCAATATCATTTTTCATAATTGCATTGTATTTCACTTTATGGCCTTACTCTGATTTAAGCAGTCCTTTAAATAAATTATAACCAGCTGTTTCCAGTTTTCATTGTCATAAATTATACTACAGTGAACATCCTTGGACATCAATATTTGGCTTTATTATAGTAGATTCCTAGATATGGTATTATGTCACCGGCTATGAACAGTTTTAAGATTTCTGATAGCATTAGCAAATTGCTTTCCAGAAAGATTGTATCAGTTTACACTCATACTGTATGTTATTTTTGTTTGCTACTTGAAAAGGTTAAAAATAGAGGTATATATAGTAGAAAATAAAAAATTTAAATTTTCATTAGTCAGTGGCAAATACGGTGTCATGGTTTTTTTTTTTTTTTTTTTACCCATTTACAATATTCATAAAACAAATATATTTTTTTATTTAAACAAATGGGATCACTATACAGGCATAATTATTTCCCAAGATACCATTAGTGCATAATAGTATCAGTGTGTATAGTTGGTCCTTCTTTCAAATGGCTACATGTGTCCCATTGTGTGGATGTACCATAACTTAACCAGCTAAGAATGGCTTTCAGTTTGTTCACACAAACAGTATTACAATGAACATTTTATTTGGTACTGTACATACATCTTTGTACTTTTGTCCAAGTATGTATCTGAAAGTCAAATCCCAGGGGTAGACTAGCCATTTTAGGTTCCTTCACAGTGTATAAAAGTGCCTGGATCCCCATACTCTTACCAACACTATTTATTATCAAATCTTTTAATCTTTGCCAATTTGATAAGTAAAAAAATAGCATTCTAATTTGCATTTCTTAATTTTGAAACAGGTTAAGTATTTTTTCATGCTTTTCACTTTTTTTTGTCTTGGCTTTTTCTTTGAAAAGGATAGATCTGTTCCATTCTTTGATAGCATTTCTATTATACTATTTTGCTTTTATTGAATTGTAGTAACATAAGGAAATGAATCTTTTGTCATGTATTATACTTATTTTTTACATAGCTTGTAATTTTACTTTGTTAATTTTTTTTTCTGTTAAAACACTTGAGCTTTAAAAGCAAGCTTTTAGAGCATTTTTTTTTCCTGATCTAAATTAGCATGCTACCCAAAGCACCGAACATCTTTTGAAAGTTTGATTTAATTAAGTGACCAGCTAGGCACAGTGCTAAGACTTAAGGTATTTGCTAAAATTATTTTAAAATGTTGGCTTACTTTAACATAGGTGGTTAACGGGTAAGATCTAAGATCAACAAATTACTACATTACTTTGGTTAATGAAATTTTAATCATTTTAATGCTTTCCCTTGTGTGTATACCAGAGTACATCTTACCAATTGTCAGTTATGGACAGTTTCTGTTCAGTGTTTTTTCAGACAGGGACTTATCTAAGGGGGTTTATCACATATATTTACTAGAAAAAAATGTCTAAAGAGAATAATTACTTTTCCTTTTTAGCTAGGGTATTACTATTCACAGGAGAATAAAATTCACCTCTTAAAAGATGTTGGCATTTTTTGTTTTCTTTAGTCTGTAGTTGACACTGACAAAACCTTTATGAAACAATTATCATCATGTGTCCCTTAACAGCAGGGATATGTAATGCAAGGTTAGGCAATTTTATCTTTGTGCAAACATCATAGTGTACTTAACACAAATCTAATGGCACCTACTGCACAGCTAGGGTATGTGGTAGCCTATCACTCCTGGGCTACAAACCTGTACAGCATGTTACTGTAGTGAATACTGTAGGTACTTATAACACATGGTATTTGTGTATGTAAACATAGAAAAGGTACAGTAAAAATAATGGTATAGGAGGCAAAAAATGGTACATTTTGGCAGCTCCATTATAATCTTGTGGGACCACACTGTCTTATATGTGGCCTGTCATTGGCCAAAACATTGTTACGAGGCACGTGATTGTACTGGAGTAACAAAAGATAATCCCCTTAACAGCCGTTTCTATCCATTGAGTAAATTTAGAGCATAACCTTTTTAGAACTCAAAGACAATATAGCAACTTTGAATTTATCTTGTTGTTGCAGTTATTAGACCACTGTTTAGAGAGAATGTAGCATTCTGGTTCCAAGTAAGGCTCTATGTTTGAATTTTGGCCCTACCATTGCATTGGCTTGGACAAGCCACTTCATCTTTCTTTTCCTGTTATATCATCTTTGAAAAGGGAAGAATGATAGCATCTGTGTCATCGGTTTGTTACAAGGATTAAATGAGATGATCAGTGGCAAAGTACTTCCTGGAATGAGGTAAATGCTTAATATATGTTATTGAAATGATTATTAATTAATGTAATAACTAAAAATTCTTTTTTTCTAGACATTCAGAAATATATTCCATGCTATCAGCTTTTTAGGTGAGTAATTGTATTAGTCAAAGCAAATAAATGATCCATTGTGAAAATTGCTCTCTGCAAGTGAACCTATCTTAGTTACCTGTTATATATGGTGGTATTAATACTAATTAAAATGGAAAGTTTTTTTAAAATACCTGAAAAGTCACTTGTGCATTGTCAGCCCTAATAGTTCTTTCTCTGTATGACTTAGGTTAGCTGGTCTTCACTGCCTCTCCCAGGTACCAGATTAAATTGAGGACTGCTTTATCTTTTCACACCCAGTCACCTCATTGTAATATATTATAAACTCAGTTCCCAAACTCAGCACTTTGGGAGGCTGAGGTAGGAGGATTACCTGAGACCAAGAGTTCAAGACCAGCCTGGGCAACATAGCAAGACCCCATCGCTACAAAAAATTTTTTAAATTAGCTGATGTGGCAGAGGCTGAGGCCAGAGGATTGCTTGAGCCCAGAAGTTCAAGGCTGTAGGGGGATATCATCGCACCACTGCACTCTAGGCTGAGTGACAGAGGGAGACTCTTTCTCAAATAATAACAATAATAATTAGACCAACTTAATAGAGGCTTAGAGCTGGGGAAGCCATCTACTCCAGTGATGAGAAACCTATGCTTGAGCCTTTCAGTTCTTACATGATTGGGACGGGTTGGTGGGGTGGAAAGGCAGAAGGGGAGAGTCAACGTTAAACGCCTTTCATTCAGAAGGTTACTACACACTTCATTTTTATTTAACAACAAACTAAGCCTGAAAAGTTCATGATTTAACCAAGGCCACAGCACTAGTTAATGGTAGGGCAAAATTATTAATATATATGGCCCTCAATAAGAATGTGTACATGTTTAAAAAAAAAAAGACGAATTTGCAATGAAGGGTGGATGTGGCTTGCAAGTTTAAAATATTTACTGTTTGCCAACCCTGCCCTAAATACATTGCTTCTCAAACTTTTCCACTGAATTACACTGATTTGCTCACCTCAGGAGTCCGGGGAAAATGTCTGGGAAACCTAAAACTTAAAGTCACTTTAAAAAAAAATTTCCCAATTTAACATGAATTCTACTGCACAGTATATCTATTTTTATATAAAAATGCTACTACCCATCGTCTCCCCAGAAACTTCACATAAAATCAGTGCTTCCATGGATGATGTTATCCTGTGGCAGCTTTTTTTGTTGTTATTACTTTTTTTTTTTTTTGAGACAGAGTCTGGCTCTGTTGCCCGGGCTAGAGTGCCGTGGCATCAGCCTAGCTCACAGCAACCTCAAACTCCTTGGCTCAAGTGATCCTCTTGCCTCAGCCTCCTGAATAGCTGGGACTACAACAGGCATGCGTCACCATGCCTGGCTAATTTTTTCTATATGTTTTTAGTTGTCCAGCTGATTTCTTTCTGTTTTTTTAGTAGAGACGGGGGTCTCGAACTCCTGACCTTGAGTGATCCACCTGCCTTGGCCTCCCAGAGTGCTAGGATTACAGGCGTGAGCCACTGCGTCCGGCCATTATTACTTTTTTTTTTTAATCATCCAACCCAAAATGTCAGTCCTGTGGCTTCTTATACAACCTGATGTATTGTCTTATGCTCCAATTTGAGAAGCTCAGAAATGGGCCGTCCTAGAGAAATACAGGAATAAATTCTTTTTAGAGTTTTCATATTGGAACTCTGAATAGGTAAAAATGGGTATATCTGTTTGACCAGCTTAATATCCCCGTTCTGTAGGCGGAACACTATTTTTGCCTACTTTCCCATTAAAATCTTTTTAATGGAAAAATTATTGCCTATTAGGATATATTGTTTCAGTTTCGTATAACTAAATTTTTTCAGTGTAGTTTAGAATGACCAGTAAAAGCCTATTACAGTGAAAATTATTTATAAAGGATTTTATATATTTCACCATCATAGAATATTGTTAATGAATACCAAAAATATTATTTGTAATTTTTTTTTTTTTTTTAAGAGACAGGGTCTTGCTCTGTTGTTGGGGCTAGAGTGTAGTGGCACAATCGTAATTCACTGCAGCCTTAAACTCCTGGGTTCAAGGGATCTTCCCACCTCAGCATCCCAAGTACCTAGCACTATAGGTATGTGCCACCATGCCCAGCTAATTTTTTTATTTTTTGTGGAGATGGGGTCTTGCTGTGTTTCCCAGGCTGGTCTTGAACTCCTGGCCTCAAGCAGTTCTTCTGCCTCAGCCTCCCAAAGTGCTGGGATCCACACTGTACCCAGCCCCTATTTGCAGTGTCTTACTGGAAGAGAAAGAAAGCCAGAAGTAAACACTTCAAAATCTTTTAGAATTATCTTCTGATAATTCCTGCATCTTAGACATTCCACCTACAGAAGAAAGACCACTAAACTAAACTAAAACCTGTTCCATCTACCGCCCACCAAAAAAACCCAGCCACTGCCTAAAACATGTAGCTTTTGGAATTAGCAGTGAATAAATTGTCCTTTTGTTAATTGTCCTTCATTTCTCAAGTAACACATTATTTATGTATCAGTATTGTAAAAAATTTTAATAAGTAAACTGAATGGATTGTGAACTGGTTATATGAATTTACTTCCTAATACCTGTGTTTAATGGATAGTTTATTATTTTACTTTAGGTTAAAAAAATGTGATGTCCAAACTTATCTCCTATCCTTTTTCTTTTTGTTGGTTATGTACCTCATATTTCTACGACTTTAAGTCTGTTAATTTGAGAACTTTCTCCACTGTTTATTTTAGGACTTCATGAGACAGGCAAGTAAGTATATGGATTTTGGCTGACTAATTTGCAGTAAAAGTAATTAAAAATGCTAATAAAATTATTCATATTTTTAGCTTAATTGAAATGTCTTTAATTTTGGCTTTTACAGCTTTTATAATTCTTCAGGTGAAGTAAATAAGGAAGCACTAAAGAAAATATTTTCAAGTGTCAAAAAGGTATTCTCTGATTTACCTTTTCTTTTTTGGTATTTAATATGCATTATTTTCGTTTCCTAGAAACATGTAGTACTTTGACAGAACTTTTAAGCAGTATTTGTCTCCGTGGTATCCTATAAAACAGGTAGAAAAGCCTTTTTCTTCCCAGAAATCCAAAGGAGTTGCTCTGAAAACACAACTAATATTTAAAAGCATTAATGTTGTTATCCTTCCCTTTACTGCATCGACTGCTTTCTCTCCTGTATTTCCACCACACCACCCCTTCCCAGTCCCATTTATTCTAGGACTTAATCCATTACTGTTACTTTAGTTAGCTGCAGTTATTAATACTATTTTTCATACTGCGGGGATGCTTTCCTATACAGCACTTAATTTGAGTGCTCCACAGCATACCTGGTGTTTAGTGAAAAGTTGCCGAATGATCAAAATGGATTTTTCTCCCAAACAAAATTTTTTTGAGGCACCACTTTTTTCTTCTTAAAACTTTCATTATCTCTGACTTGAGAATAAAAGTAGATTCCGTAAAAGAAGTTTCTTTCAAAAAACATTCTCAGTTGAAAATGCTTGGGTTTTTTTCCCCAATTATCTTTGGGTATTTAAAAATGTACCTATAAAAATACTTTATTTTTGCCAGTCGTGGTGGTTCATGCCTGTAATCCTAGCACTCTGGGAGGCCGAGGCAGGAGGATTGCTTTGCTTAAGGCCAAGAGTTCGAGACCAGCCTGAGCAAGGGTGAGACCCCCTCTCTACAAAAAATAGAAAAATTAGTCAGGCATGGTGGTATGCACCCAAAGGCCCAGTTACTCAGGAGAGTGAGGCAGGAGGATCACTTGAGCCCAGGAGTTTGAGGTTGCAGTGAGCTATGATCACGCCACTGCACTCTAGCCTGGGCGACAGCAAGACCCTGTCTCAAAAAAAAAAAGTTTTATTTTTAAAAAGAATAGAAGTAATTTTAATTTCCTCAATTTAAATGTGTAAATATAAAATGTAGTTGCTGAACCTCACAGATCTTTTTTTTTAACCTCACAGATCTTTAAGCAAAGTGTTTTTTTCCTCCATTACAGTTACTGAATTTTCAGTAAATGAGAATTATTTTTCTGTTTTAAAAAAAGGTTTAGTAATAAAACACATTTGTTTAGCATGTTACAATTTATAGAACCCTTTTACAAGATCTTGTTCAATGTTGAAACCATCTTTGTGGGGTAGACAATACCATTCCCATTTAAATTTTAGGTTAAAGCTATAGGGTTCAGCTTAACTTATTTAACAAACCAAGTATCCATATAGGAACTTGTTTTTAGGGAGTGATTGCCTAGTAAATCAATGGCTTTGATTTTTTTTTTATTTGAATTTTGACTAAAGATTAAGACTGCAAGATAGCAAATGCCATAAAAGAAGCGAAAGGAAGTCAAAATCTTTTTTCTCCTTTTAATCTATATTGATCAAAATTGTAGCCTTTTAAATGAATGGAAAGTAATTTAACTGTAAGTCAGTTTGCGTACTTTAGAAAAGTAAAGTGTATAACTAAATATATTCTTTGTTTATATCTGTCCAAATCTTTCTAAATATTAAGAAAGCCATTCTTAAGGCTGTCAGTTTTGTAAGAATTATAACTAGACATATAATTATAATAATAGACATATAATTGTAACCATTAAGATACATATCTTATTTCTTTCTGTATTTCAGAGTGTGGTAGGTTGGTACAAATTCCGTCGTCATTCAGATCAGATCATGACATTTAGAGAGAGGCTGATTCACAAAAACTTACAGAACCATTTTTCACGTCAAGAACTTTTTTTTCTGCTGTTAACACCAAGTATAATAACAGAAAGCTGCTCTACTCATCGGCTGGAACATGCCTTATATAGACCTCAGAAAGGGTAAATGTTGGCCAGTCACTGGCTATCTTAAAATAATAGAAAATATACCTAATATTTAGTACTTTTTGTAGATTACCAAGTGTTTTCATATATTGTTGCATTAGATTGTCACAATAACCCTTTGAAGTACATCTTACCACCTGTTAATTTTAAGTGGCAAAATAAAGTCAGATAAGGAAATTAGAAACCCAGTGTGGAATGATGACTTGTGCTCTGGCATTGAAGACTTTGCTATTATTTAATATTTACTATTTAATTTAATACTTAATAATTTACTATCTATAAAATATTTTAGATATTGATTAAGGATATAATTTATAGAACTTAAGCCTAGGTACTTGCGCAGCTTTTCTATAACCTCTGCAAAGAAGCAAGGTAGTGCTTGATGGTCCATTCAAATGAGTCTAACAGAGACTCCCCGCAGGTTGTATAAAAACTACGTTTTCATGGAATGTAAGAATTAAGAGTACCAGCTGAGATTAATTTGTCATTCATGAACGGTAGGATAAATCTCAACATTAAGACTATCTTATTTTTACATGTACTAATCAGTTAAAGTAGCCATTAAAATATTTTTTCATGCAAGTATACCATACACATTTTAACAACTTTTAAAACCCAGTTGCCTCAAGTCAGTAAATTCTATCTCAGGTAAGTAGTAAGGAATGGGGTTTTTTGTGTTTTTTTAAATCTTATAGGGGAAAAGTAGTCTATTCTAATAGGTGGATGCTAACCTTTCTCTTTATTCGAAATTTATATTTTAAAGTTTTATTCTGTCAGACTTTTTCATAGGGTACCATTAGTGGTTGCCAATCTGGGCATGTCTGAACAGCTGGGTTATAAAACTGCATCAGGTTCCTGTACGTCCACTGGTTTTAGCCGAGCAGTAGAAACACACAGGTAAGATTCTTCACTGCTTTCCCCCTAAATTTATTCCTATTCATTTTTTGAAATTAATTTTATTACACAACAGAATAAAAATGAAAACTAATGTATACCTTACTCAAGAAAACTAGACTGTTTTTACCTTCTCCATACTTCCTGTTAGCACTTTTCTACTTAAAAGATATGAAAAAGGTAGTGGGGGAAGTTATTGCATATCCTGCAAATTTTAGCATATTTATTCTAGGTTACAATAAGTAGCTAGCCTCAAAATTATAATTTTCTAAGGCAATGGTTCAGATTAAGGACATGGAATTCAATTGGATATTACAGGGGAAAACATCAGGCTTTAGCCAAGACTTACTCACACTGTAGGCTGCTTAGATGTAACTTTTTTGTAGCCATTAAGTAAGGGAATAATGTCACAAATAGCAATCTTGGTTTGGTCAGATAGCTACTAGAGTATAAATTTTACCAGGATAAAGGATTGGGTTTTATTTATTTTTGTGTTCCCACAGTGCTTAGCAATGTAAGAACATAATACCATATTCATTGATTCTGAGACATACATTTTTCACATTTATCTCTGAAATTGGGCTGTTTTACGAATCATGCCTTCTTAATACTGTTTTTTTCTTTCATAGATCATAAAATAATGGTGCCTTTTTCAATTATTGGTAACTTAAATCTTAAATTTATTCAAATATTGATTCTTGTTTCCATTGCCAAAAAAAGACCCCCTCTCTCTCTCTCAGTCTTTATCTATTTTTACTTAACCTTTTTTTTTTTTTTTTTTTTGGAAACCTGGCAATAGAACTTATGAAACTAAAAAGTTTGCTATTGTGGGCCGGGCGCGGTGGCTCACGCCTGTAATTCTAGCTCTCTGGGTGGCCGAGGCTGGCGGATTGTTTGAGCTCAGGAGTTCGAAACCAGCCTGAGCAAGAGCAAGACCCCATCTCTACTAAAAATAGAAAGAAATTGGCCAGACAACTATATATAGAAAAAATTAGCCGGGCATGGTGGCGCATGCCTGTAGTCCCAGCTACTTGGGAGGCTGAGGCAGGAGGATCGCTCGAGCCCAGGAGTTTGAGGTTGCTGTGAGCTAGGATGACGCCACGGCACTCTAGCCCGAGCAAAAGAGTGAGACTCTGTCTCAAAAAAAAATAAAAATAAAAGTTTGCTATTGTGAAGACAGATGAAGTAGGTTGGTTTTGCTGTATACACATAGGCTGACAAAATTATGGTCCCTACAAAGCCAGTAACAAGAATTTTCTGTGGCTCTTTGACAACAAATAAGTTTTTCGCTGTATCATTAAAATGAGTTCTGTATGTTTGCCTGAGGAAATGTAATTTTTTTCAGCTCTGAATTTTTTGAAGAAGATGGATCTTTAAAGGAGGTACATAAGATAAATGAAATGTATGCTTCATTACAAGAGGAATTAAAGGTAAGTTAACATACCTAACACTTAAAGACTACTTCTAGAGTTCATATCGATTCATTGACATTTTTTAGGCATAACTTGACATTTTGATTCGATTTATAGTCATGAAATGTGTCATTAGGCACTTTTGTGCAAATATCATACAATGTACTTACACAAACCTGCATGGGGTGTGTGCGTGGGCGGGGGGATGTATGTATTTTATATGTGTGTGTGTGTATATATATATATTTTTTGAGACAGGGTCTCACTCTGACACGCTGGGTAGAGTGCAGTGGTGTCATAGCTCACTGCAACCTAAACTTCTGGGCTCAACTGATCTTCCTGCCACAGCCTCCCAAGTAGCTGGGACTATAGGCACACACTACCATGCCTGGCTAATTTTTTCTGTTTTTGGTAGAGACAGGGTTTCACTCCTTCTCAGGCTGGTCCCAAACTCCTGACCTCAAGTGCTAGGCCTCGCAGAGTGCTAGGATTACAGGCATGAGTCATCACGCCCAGCCTGTGTCATAATTTTTTGTTTAAGAGACAAGTTTTGCTATGCACTGGCCTCGAACTCTTGGGCTCAAGCAATCTTCCTGCCTCAGCTTCTCAAGTAGCTGGAACTACAGGCATACTCCACTGCTCTGATTTTTTTTTTTTAATTTGATATATTAAACATTTTTTGTATTGCTACGTATTTAGTTATTTTTAATGGCAGTGTATTTCACAAAGCAGTATATTAGAACTCTTATGTTAAAAGTACCAACTTGGGCTAAAGTGGGGAACATAAAGGAACTTTAGGTAGAAAGCAGCTGAACTTTAGGAAGGATTTGAACCAGAAACTGGAATGTCACCAGAACTTTCTCTTCCTCTGTGTCTGCACATTACTCTCCTTTGTATTTGTAGATTTTGCTGTTTCCTCATCCACTGGCAGACCAGAGAAGGGCTGGCTATTCAAGAGATTAGGATTTGCCAGTTGGCTGTGTAGTATCTCCAGATTCTTAGGGGAGAATCTGTCATTCCACTTGGGTCAGCTAGGGTGAAAATGGCTATAGGGGTTACTGGCACACTCTTACGTCAGGGCAAAAAGGTGTGTGAAAAGTAGGCTGGGCAGATATCCTAAAAAAGTATCCACTAAAACCGGCTGTAACAACTATTACCCTGTAATTGGAAATTAGTTACAATGATTTGATGTTATACTAAGGAACGTCATCTTATAAATTTTTTTATTTAGTTAAGACATATTCCCAAAATGGAACTACCAGATCAAAGGTTATTGGTATTCATACTTTTGAAATTGATGACACAGGGGTGCTCTGCTTCTCAAAAGTAGTTTTTCTTACAGGAATTAAAATCTTCAATAGTTGCCTTTCATAACAGCAAAATATAGTCACTTTGTTTTCATTTATTGTCAGTTGCTTAATGTTAAACTTATGCAGTAACTGCATCTTTCAGTATGTTTCAAAGTGAGTTAAATTTCAGTTTATTTCTGTGTATTGTCAAGAAAATAACTGACATGATAAAACTGTGTGTGAGAAGCTAATGTATCTGAAAAGCATTTTGTAACCTATAAAGCAGCATACAAGTGCTTGTTTTTGAGATCCTCCAGAAACTAGCAAAATGAAATTTATATAAAAGGCAAATAGTACTTGATAGTATATGCCACCAAGGATTTTATATTATTTAATTGTGAATCTAGACTCTGTTAGTACAGAACTTGAAATTTTGTCTATGCCCTTATATTGCAGAGTACATGCGAAAAAGTGGAACACAGTGAAGAAGCAGTAGAGAAACTACTACAGGATATAAACCGATTAAAAGAAGAAATTAAAAAAAGGAAACAAGCACGGACTCAAGCAGAACGTAAGTAAAAAGCTAACACGTCGCTACTTTACATGCTTTAAAAAATATCCTTACTAATTTGAATGATGGATGAGCCAACTGCACTATGATAAATTTGTTGTCCATCTTGGCATTAAAACTATTCGTTTCATTAATACTCTTAAATCCCACCAAACAAAGCACATGGTATAGTATAGCTATACTAGCTATACATTACTGTTGATATTAAAGAATACAACTTTAATTTTCTCTTAGAATATTGTGGCATATAAATTAGAATTTGGAGTTATGCATGTCATTATTTTCACCAGATAATTTGATATAATTGCTAGAATCTTTTTGACTTAATTTTACTAACAAATACCTAATTATAAAAAGCTTTATAAAACAAATACTACACGTTGAAAGAAGTGTTATTTTATTTTGTTTAGGAGAGAAGAATGCCCCAAAAGACCCTCAGGAGAACACTTTTCTTTGTCAAGCTTTACGGACGTTTTTTCCGGATTGTGAATTTCTTCGTTCATGTGTTATGTCTTTGAAAAACAGGTGTATTTCTAAAAGTAGCTGCAACAGCAGCCACCATCTTGAGGTGGTAGACAACCTGACCTTAATGGTAGAATACACTGACGTTCCTGAAGCTAGTCCAGCTAGTACACCACAAATGATTAAGCGTAAATCTTTAGAAAAGACAGGCGATGGATGGCAATTCAAGAAATCACGGCTGTCGGAGACACAAAACAAACCATCTAAAACAGGTACTGATAGTAGTAACCAAGAAAAAACATCCACAATAAGCAGCCCAGAAACAGATGAAGAGATTGAGACAATGCAGGGTTCAGGTGAATATTCACAGTCTCCTACATTTTGATCCTTTTAACCCAAAAGGAGATTTCTGATTTGGCTGAAGGATAAAGTCAAACGTTTCTATCATTTTTGCTATGTTCAGCTACTTGCAGTAATACATAAATATATTCAGATATATTCATTTGTTTTTACTATATTCAGCTATTTTTAGTAATACATAGATAATCTGTTTTTACTGTGTTCACCTGTTTGCAGTAATACATAGGTAAGTTCTAATGTACTTATAAAGTACTTTTAAAATAGCAGATGCTTTTATTTTTATTTTTTTGAGACAGAGTCTCACTCTGTTGCCCAGGCTAGAGTGCTGTGGCATCAGCCTAGCTCACAGCAACCTCAAACTCCCGGGCTCAAGCAATCCTCCTGCCTCAGCCTCCCCAGTAGCTGGAACTACAGGCATGCACCACCACAGATGTTTTTATTTTAAAAGTCAAAATGGTTTACCTTTTACTAAATTGTTGAGGGAAAGGCTTAAATAGTTACATTCTTTTAAACTTATACAGCATTCTTTGGAATTGGAAAAAAAAGACTAACTTATTTTTCCAATGTGGAAAGAAATCTATAAAGTTTATATGAAAATTTATTTTTATCAAAATCACTAAAATTCCCATTCCTTAAGTGATGATAAAAAGTACCTTGTGGCTAGGATTGTCATAAAATTTGGGACATACTTACATTAAAAATTATTTGTCTTAAATTTAAATTTAACTGGGTGTCCTGTATTTTTATTTGCCAAATCTGGCTACCCTAGTTATGACACACCATAATACAGCACAAACAGTAATCTTTCCCTTAGTCTACAGTCCTCTATGTGAAATTGAGTAAATTTAAAATTTTGATTACAGTACAAGCCTATTATTAATCTAGTACATTATGGGATCAATTTTTTGGTCATGCAGCTTAAAAGGCCAGTTAAAGTAGGACGCAGACATGCTACAAACATCTGTATATACATAGGAACATCTATCACGAAGCTTTCACTTTAACATAAAGCAGAATTGTACATTCATTTGCCAACCATTTGGCACAGGCCAGGAACTTTTCTGAGTCTTAAGTCCAGTGATTGAAGTTCCTATGTAAATCATTCTCGCTACTCAACCTCTACAATTCCCAGTTTTGGTTTCTCTAAAGTGAAGAATCCATAGAAACATGCAAAGCAACAAAGAAAGTACAAAATGCAACTACGTTTTTCCATTTTACAGCCCCTCCCACTCCTATTCAGTTGTCCCAACCACACCTAACTCGACCACGACGACTTTTTAAAGCTAGTTATCTTTGTCAGGTCTTTCCAGAGCATTTGCTTTGTTTTCATAGCAACAGTAACTTATGCTCATATTTCAACAGTACAATAACACATATGCCACAAGTCTGGGAACAAAACTCTTGGCAGGGTAGAATTCAACAGGAGAGGCACAGCCGTCTGTATGATTTTTAGGGAGGATGTAAAGCCCCAGTTTAATCCAGTGAGTTGGTTAAGTGGGGGTTGCCTAAGGGAGCTTTTACTAGTATGTAAAGATGTATTTATGTCATTTTCACACACTTTTCCATTTAGTGTACACATCACATGAAGACTTCACCATGTTTTACTCACTGGATAAAATGCCCAATGCATACTTGGACCTTTGATCTTCTGTCTCTTCCTAGAGAAATTACTTGATATAGAAAATCACATCTAGGTAACAAAAACTCTTCTATGTGTTTCCATGCATTAATTACCATAGGGTGTTTATGAAGGAACATAATACCAAGGATTTGTACAAATCCTACGTTTGTATTGCTGGGGTTATGTTTGACTGGTTACATAAGTAACTGTGGTAGCGTACGTGGCAGAAGGAGGAAAACCAGGGTTGTCAGTCTGAACTGCTTCTATCACTGGAGTGAGAGAAAATGACTGATAACATTACATATGAATTATCATCCCAAAGGACACTACTGGTTTGAGGATAGACTCATCTAGGAGTAAATATTTTGTCATCCTGTAACAGTACTACTATCCATCCCAATGTAACATCTCTACAAAGGGAAGACCACTCTCAACCACGCACACTTATGTTTGCTAATTAGAAAATCATTCTGAGCAGTTTCAACTCCACAGCCAATCACGTGGGATCTGAACATTATACAAGCATTCTACTTTGATGCATCCATTTCCCGAAAATCCCATCTGTAAGACAGAGTCTGGGCCTAAAGCAGAATTGCAATATAAGCTATCCCTTACTTATTTACTATGCCAATACCAGTGTGTACATTACTGTATGAGCTATTTGGGGACCACATATAAGTGGCAATCACACAGTACCACTTTTATTCAAAGTATCTAAAATGTAATGCATATTAATGTTTTAAATATGTGATCTGTTTAATGGGCATTCACTGGTACGGAGGGGAAGTTTCACTCCTGATCTCACTCCTGAAACACTTTTCTAACCAAAGGTTTGTCTGAGTCAATATTGGCATCATACAACCACTTACTGTAAAATAAGTTTATTGGTGGTAACATTATGTAATTTATTCCCGGTATCTGATGTTGCAAACTTTAGGGTCTTTGAGATACGCAGGATCCTTGTACGTAACTGGCATAAACCCTGTAAAGAGATAATTAAAGTTTTCACAAAAGATAATGAGCAAAATTTTGACTAGCTCAATTCAGTTGTTAGGTGCTCTTACCCAGTATTTGAGCTCTCTTAATTGCTTTTGTGATTTCTTTCTGCTTCTTCCCACAAAGTCCTATAAAATAAAGATGTTTCTTCATAAAAAATACCAATACTCAAAATTTATAACAATTTTACAAGTCAAGGGTTGGTACATTTTTTTTGTCAAGGACCAGAATACATTTTTGGGCTTTGTGGGCTATATAGTGTCCATCACAGCTATTCAATTCTGCTGTAGCTCAAAAGCAACCGTATGGCACTATGTAAAGGAAACTAAAAAAAATATGTAGTAGGTCAAATTTGGCCCATGGGCCACAGTGTGCAGACACCCAGTCTTTAAGTACCTGTCTTGGAATGATTACAGTATATTCCAAAACGAGAACACAATTTTTTTAAGCCTAAGTTTTCTATATGTTGTCAGAATGCAGTTAACTTTGTGCATAAGAAGACATGCAAAATTATAATCTTTTTGGCCTAAAAACAGGCTTTCTCCAAGTACCCAAATCCAGTCCCTGTAGTATCTGGTCTAATAATGATTCATGGCACCATTTGACAATTTGCCAGTTTTCTTAAATAACAGAAGTAGATCAACACAATTCTTATCCACATTTAAACTGTCACAATAAAAAACAAAATACCTGTTATGTGCCTTCCATAAATGCATCCAGTAAATGGAGAAATAAACTGGGACAAAAGCTGTTTGGGGGTTTTATTGGAAGGAAAAGAAATTAATATATTTGTTATTCACTGCAAAGGTGTAAATTTCAAAAAAAAAAATCAAACCTTACCATTTTTAAGTTATATAAAATGTAAATTTCAGATGAATTTTATAAGACAAGAAAAAAACTTTATTTAGCTTATGCTATTAAGTCATCTTTTAAAGTAATAATATCCTCTAGTGTGTCAAAGTCTATATACAGCTAACAGAGTAATCAGCATACTCTTTCAATATTAAATCTGTATTCTTCATTTCCACAGACATCTTTCTAAAATACTGCTGCTTAAAACACGGTACTAAAACATTCCATCTATCGTGATAGGCTATCACATAATTCTGAAGGTAATTATCAGACCACACTGAGGTCTTCAAGAGGTACAGGCACGTCAGGCCATTTACTGTAATGTATGCTTTACTAATTTAAATATGTCTTTAGAACCTTCTAAGCATTAGGCACTGTTCCAGGCACTTTTATATAATCTTCCTCCTATGTGTATTTTTATAATTTCTTAGTTTTTCTCCCTCAAAGGCAGTGATCACTTTATACTGTTGTGTTTATATGTAACTCCAGCACCATTCACTCCCCCAAATTTGCCACTTCTAATGTGCTGAGAGCTAGGTAAGAGATAAATCATAGGTGAAGCAGTGATACGGGTGGTGAGGTACAGAGAAAAAGCTGCATAGGAGCTTTTCCCAAAGTACTCGCCCTCACCAATCAAAAATCACCACAGTGACGTGCTGTGAAAACATTTGGGTCAGAGAAAAAAGAAACACTCAGTGGAAACAATAGTAAATGAGGGAGAACCAAAGGGCACTTATTTGAGTAAAGCACAGATAGAACCTAACACATAGAATTATAACCAGATTTGAAACTAGGAAGTTGCTAAAACAGTTGCCTCTACAAAAGCCTGCTATAAAACTGACTTCATTCTCTTTAAGCAGGACTAATGAGCAAAACCCTAAAATCACATATAGTCAAGTAAAACCAGATCTCACCTGTACATTCTTATAATCTACACGTTTTCCACACAAGATACATTTCTTAAGAGGCTCCTTATAAGGATTTTCCATTGGAACAGGCTAAGATAAAGGAAGAAAAGTCTGAGGTGTTAATTTTGAATTTAAGAAAATTAAATCTTAAGGTTACTATACTACATTTAAACACATCCAAAGGAATAGTTATACCTTTCTTACTGTGCACATATTTTGTACAAGCCTTTTACTTTGTTTCAGTTTGGCTAATGGGGAACTAATTCATGGAGGATTCTGAAATAAGGTACATCTTTGTAGAATAAAACGGTTTAAGGAAGAAAAAAATTCAAGTCTACTAAGAAAGTGATTGTTCAAATGCTTTGCCCAGATTGCAAGTAACTAAAAAAAGATTTAAATTAAGAAAAACTTACAATAGATAACATGCTATTCCTAAATTAGTGTAATCTCTAAATACAGGTTTTCCTATTAGTGTAATCTCTAAATACAAGTTATCTATCCCCATTTTTCTCTATCAGATGTTTTGTTTTTTGTTTTTGTTTTCTTGAGACAGCATCTCGCTCTTTGCCTGGGCTAGAGTGTGGTGGCGTCATCACAGCTCACTGCAACCTCAAACTCCTGGGCTCAAACGCTCCTCCTACCTCAGCCTCCCAAAGTGTTAGGATTACAGGCTTGAGGCACCACACCCAGCCTTTATCAGGTGTTTTATCACTATTTTTATTTTAGAAATAGATAATACCCCAAGGCTTACTGTAATAAAGGGTTCTTTGACTTCCATTTTATGGCCCCCAGACTGCTATACAAGTTTGTGCCAGCCTTTTGGCTTTTCTCTCTTCACTACTGCCTCTAATGCTTCTGTTACGGTGTCTCCCTTCCACAGCCAGTATGGTTGTCTCTGGTATAGAGGTTCTTAATCTAGAAACGGCTTTGAAGTCCATAAGCCCTTTAATTGTACGCAAGATTTCAAATGAATGGAACATCCTGGCTTTTCCGTGGAGAGGATCTATAGCTTTCATTAGCGTCGGTGGGATTTATGACCTAAAAAAGGACTATTACAATCTGACCAGGATGGATGCTCAGAGGAATTAGACAAGTTCTTTTGTTTGTTCCAATTCTTCAAACTTTCTTAATCTAGTTTTCATTCGGCTCACATGCTATGACTGACTGTATTCCTTCTCAACACTGTGCTAAGTGATTTGTATGGTCTGATTAGTGGCAAACAAATTATCTTTGCATGTAATAAAACTTACGCTGCCCAAGTCCATGTTAGTACTTTAAACTCATAACAATACACGTGTAGGTTAAAGGAAATGGTATTTAACGTCCTGATGTAAAATTTTAATTTTGATATCTCATTTATTAAGGCACCCCCAACCAAAGTGACAAATGAGACAAAGGTAGGAAAAATGTGAATTCGAAATGGGCAACGAGCCAACCTATAGCTAAGCGTTGTACAATCCCTTTGTTCAATTATTTACAATTATTCTATCCACTAAAACTACCTTTCTAACACATTAGCTGCCATGTGAGTTGTATTTAACTCAAGCTAGTTATAAGCCCTCGGGCCTGGTGAAGCATATGTAACTCACGTCTCTACCTCGGGAGCTGCATGAACTAGTTGTCAAGTTGCATATAACTCATGCACAGAACAAAACATAACAAATTGTTCATTAAATTAGAAAGGATCACTTTTTTTTTGAAGTTTTAATCTATTTTTGAAATAAAACACCATGGCCCCAAGGAAAGAAAATTTTTTTCTAGTGTGGCAATGTGTTAAATTCCCAAATCACATATTCTTAAATTTAAGATCTTGGAGGAAAAGATGGTATTACAGAAGCCATGCTTCTCATTAGGAATCCAGGAATTCTCTTATTTCAAAATTCACTTAGGTGACTATAATCAATGAGTTATAATTTCCAAACTCACAGTAATGATTACCTTAATTGTTTTGTTGTTTTTATATTTGGTCATATCTGGAAATGCCTTACTAATAGAAAAAAAAAATTCTTACCATGTCCTCGTTGCTGGTCACCTGTTTATACTGTGAACAACCTCTGCTCCAGAGCACTACAATTAAACCGAAACAGCAATAAATCACTTCTTTTTGTTAGTTGAGTAGCTAAAGAAAGGATTTTGTTTTTATGGAGGCAAGATGAATCAAGGGACACAATATAAAAAAGAGGTTTTATATTTACTATACTCACAATGACTGGTTAAAGACCTTTAATTCAGATTTGGTACAGAGTAAGACTTACAATGGGTGTGCTTTCTAGAGCTTTGGGGGAAAAGCGCATATTTTCCCACCCGTACGACCTCTCACCTGCTCTCTTCCTGAAATTTATTTTCCCTTCACTTTATGGTTAAGAGTAGTTATTAAAAGAGATGCACAGAGAAGATAAAGTTGCAGAAATTAGGGATGTGAGGACCTGTGTCACAATTTCGCTCCGATTGGGTACTTGACATCTGGAATTTGCCGCTGGGCGACTCTGGAATGTCCCTCGCTCACCAAGTTTAGCCGGAGATCTTAGGCAAGTCTCTGTCTCTTTTTAAAAATCACTCCATCACTTGCCTCGTTACGTTTAAAAATCAAAAAGGAGTAGACTGGACATCGCACGTCCCCTTCAGTTCTAAAATACTAGTCATGGGCCATTACACATTCCCACCCATCTTGGAGAATGCGCGTGTTTTGCTAATAGGGACTCGACCGGCCATTAGAACCAACGCAATGGCTGCAATGCTAGGATGGAAGTTGTAGGATATGGAGACTTTACCTGCGTGAGGGTCACGATGTGGGAAACAGACGGCAGCCGTTGCCAAGCGTGTCAACTCTTTCCTCCCTAGACCACTGCAAATAGCAACCACAGCTGCCATGATTCCTCCACCCGCCTCTTCCTGTCGTTTACAGGTGTTCCGGCAGGTCCCTTCCGGCGCTCTTCCCCTGCGGGCGCGAGTGCTGCTTTCAAAGGTTCCGCGGGCGAACGCCGGGGACAAGCCAAACCAAAGCGTAGGCGGGCTTTTCAAAGCGCGGTCCCGTTCCGTTCGCGCTCTCGCCGCACCGCAAGTCACGTGACACCGATGTTTGGCCTAGGAGAGGGCGGACACCTGCGCATGCGTATCTGCTTCCGGCCCAAGCGCTCTGGGAATTGATGTGGGAGTCTTTTCCCAAGGTGGATGGGGACGCGAGTGCCGTTTTCTCTCGTCACCACCTCCGCCCTGGCTCCCACTCCCTTTTGCACTTGAGTTTAGCGGCCGGTCGCTGCGGACGACGGCCGGGTCACGCCCTAGCCCCGGCCATGGACGAAGGTGGTTCCCGCATCCGCCGGCGGGTGTCTGTCCGCAAAAGGAGCCGTCCAAGCCTGGGGTGCGTTTTTGTCACCCCCACCGAGGCCAAGCCCGTGCCCAGCGAGGAGAAAGATGAGGAGGAAATGGTTGCTGCGAGCCGGCGGCGGAGAACCGTGGGCGTGCAAGAGGCAGAGGTACAGCCCCGACAGCTCTAACATTCCCCCAGTGTCTCGTCCTGTTAGCCACCTTCGCGGCGGTGACACAAACCCAGACCACCTCCTGCTTCCCACGCCCACCTAAAGAGGGGTGGGAGACCAGGCACAGAGGACTTGGAACGTGAAACTGCAAGCTTTCTGTCAGTTTCCTTCCCAGGTGCAAACAAGTGACCAGTTATATCGTAGCTTTCATTTGCGTCTCTCCTCTCTGTTACCAGTGTTAATCTGCACTTAGGAAGTATTGCCTTGTTATCCCCATTTCTATATATATGAAACGTAGACCCCAGACATTAATACACGCAGCAAATAAGTGGCATGACCGAGATGCAAATATAAACTTCGAAATGACTGTACTAACAAAATCTATTATTTACTGAAGACCCATTATATGCTGGGGACTTTATTAAACTAGTTACATTATTTAGATTTTACTACAGTAATCAGGCCCTGAGAATCAGCTGAGATACTACAGTTCTGACTCTAAATCCTGTGTTCTTAATCACTTCACTGTACGTATTGCGACCTCCAAGTTGCCATCTCTTCTGTGTAGTAGACCAGCCCAAGTCAGTGTGCAGATTCTCAGTCTCACTTCCAAATTCCTAGGAATTCCTTGGAGTGTGGTACAACCATGATTTTGTTACAGGCCAGTCTCTAGAGTGGAGTCTTGTTGGGGAGCACTGCAGTTAACAGAATCTTCCAGTGAGCTGACATTTCAATAAATGTCTACGAGTCTTACTGCCGTTTGAGCAGTTAGCACAGGGTTAAGAATTAGAATTCCGGTATTACTATAACACTCCAGAAGTGCTGTTTAGTAAGTCACTTAAACTTTCTGGGCCTCCATTTCTTCATCCGTAAATTGGTGATGATGATATCTGTCTGATAAGGTGATTGACACATAGGTCTGTGAACCACATGTGACCATATCATTAGATGATCCTAGGCTGGAGATTTTATTCTTAAGCTAGAATTTCCATACGTATTTTTGTTTTCTTTCCAGCATAATGACAGTGAAGAAGACATGTTTGGTGACTACGATAGCTTTACTGAAAACTCCTTTCTAGCTCAAGTTGATGATCTGAAACAAAAATATATGCAACTTCCTGAACATAAGAAACATGCTACCAACGTTGCCAGTGAAGATCTTTGTTCAGAAAGCATTGAAAACAAACTCAGCATTGCTCTTGTAGACACCTTTACTGACTTAAAAACTGATAAGCACACAGAGTACCAGGGTGGACATGAAGATGTCACTACTGAACCTGGAGCTGATCTTTTGTATGATGTACCTTCTTCGCAGGTTTTATACTTTGAAAATTTGCGGAACTCTTCAAATGATTTGGGCGATCAGCCTGCTAAAGAGAGAGATGGGAATTCATCCTGTCAAAAGACTGTGAATGAGGAATTGCCCCATACGCTCATAGAGCAACCCCAGCAAAATGATGAATCATCATCTAAAGTCAGAACTAGTTCGGATACGAATAGGAGAAAAAGTGTTAAGGATCATCTAAAAAGTGCCATGACTGGAAATGCCAAGGCCCAAACTCCAGTGTTTTCTAGGAGTAAACATCTCAAAGAGACTCTCCTATCCGAAGAAATTAATGTCGCTAAGAAAACAATTGAGTCATCATCACATGACCTTGGTCCTTTTTATTCATTACCCAGCAAAGTGAGAGACCTTTATTTTCAATTCAAGGGAATTGAAAAATTATATGGTAATGCTTTTTTGCTGGAATGAAAAAAATTTCCCATCGTTATAATATTAGTGCAAATCAATAGAAGCAAATGCTTCCGTGGTCATATTTCTCATCTTGAAAATAAATGAGAGTAGCAGGTGTCTCGCATGCTTCCATTCCTGTGCTGCCACAACCGAACTTCTTTCCTTCCCTTTGCAGTCACACTTGCCAAACCAGTTATCCTTTCTCCTCCTCACCTCAGATAATTCCTCCATCCATTCTACTTCTGTGTTCTGTGCTTTCGCATGGGGTGTGACATCTCGGGTGTCTAAATCCAATGGTACTTTTTTTAATGCTTACCTTACCTTGACTTCTCAGTAACTTACCTGCGGCCATTGACCAAACCCTTCTTAAAACTCCTGTTTCTTCACCTCTTGACACACCACTCCTGGTTTTTTCTCTGATTGTCTAGCTGTTCCTCAGTTTTCTTAGCTGATGTTTCCTTGGCTGGTCTTCTCTGCCAAAACTTAGTAAAATTCCTTTGAACATTCAGATGTCTTGAGTGAAAGAAGTCAGTAAAACCACTGGTTAAGATTAAATACCTTTAAAGATAGCTGCAGTTAATATTTACATGCAAAGAAATAGTAATACTAATGTACTTTATAATGTTTTTTTTAAAAAAATCCTGGATCCCTATATGTATTTCAAATATGTGTCATTTTAGACAAGGGACACTTGCTGCCACACTGGAAGGTCAGCCCATCAACCTATCATTTCATAAGTATTTCTGGAACTCCTGTTAGAATCTTACGAACAGTCTGAAAACATGAGTTCTGAGGAAGAAGACAATCAGGCTAGAGAAGTAGAATTACAGGGAACAAAGTCTAATATAAGACTCTACAAGAGTTCAATTGTAAATAGTGAAGTTCATGGTTTAAGAGCTTATGGTGTGTATTGCCCTTGAAGTAGATGTTAACTTTCTTCCCTCTGCTTTTCTTCTAGCACCTTGTTCTTTGTTTAATCTTCGTCTCTTGCCAGAATGAATACCCTGAGAACAGGGCTCTGTCTAACTCAGGTTTTCTTATGTGACTAGCATTGTGCCTGGTACCTTCTGGTAGGTTTCTCAACTGCTGGGGGTTATCAGCCTTCTTATGAATTCTGGCCCTGTCACTTAAAGACAGCTTTAGCACTCTGAGCTTTAGTTCTTCATCTGTTAAGGAAAAAAAAAAAGATAATTGTTTTGCAAGTTAGATTCTGTATCAAGGACATGCCAAATTAGATGTTGGGAATGGCTGTCAATTATAGCAGTAGCTTCTAAGTAAGAACTTCAGTAAATAATCTCTTTTTACTTGCAAAACTGACTTAATAACGTGACCAATTTAAAGCATAAATATGTGCTACTTTTTATTAAGCTAAAGCAGTGGTTCTCAAGATGTGGTTCCTGGACTGCAGCATCGATAGCACTTGGAAATTTGTAGAAATGCACATTATCAGGACTAGCCCCAGACTTTCCGCATCAGAACCCTCTTCGGGTGGGAGCTGGCAGTCTGTTTTAACAACACTGCAGGGGATTCTGATGTACCCAGAAGTTTGTGAACCACTGAGCTAGAGAACCTCAACCTTACACTGTTGTTAATCTTTGCCTTTTTATCGTAGAATTACATGCTTAATGTGTTTTATATGCCTAAAGTTTGAGAACTAAGTTAATATTTATTTCTTTAATGTGTGAAGACAAGTGATATTCCTAAATATTAGCTATTTTGGTCATTTTATTTATTTTGGGTTTTTTTTTTTTTTATTTATTTTTTTGAGACAGAGTCTCATTCTGTTGCCCTGGGTAGAGCGCAGTAGCATCATCATAGCTCACAGCAACCTCAAACTCCTGGACTCAAGCAGTTCTTCTGCCTCAGCCTCCCGAGTAGCTGGGACTACAGGTGCATGCCACCACGCCTGGCTAAGTTTTTCTTTTCTTTTTTTTGTTTTTTGATAGAGATGGGGTCTTGCTCTTGCACAGGCTGGTCTTGAACTCCTGATCTCGAGCAATCCTCCTGCTGCAGCCTTCCGAGAGTGCTAGAATTATAGGTGTGCGCCACCATGCCCAGCCCTATTTTGGTCATTTTATACTTAAGTATATATATTTTTATACTTTACAAAATCTGAATCAGATAAAACATAGATATGATTAAGCTGTATTTCGATATAAACATCTGTTATTTCATAACTCATGGGTGATACTAATCTGCAGTATTTTTTAGGATTAAAGTATTAAATATTAAATTTAAATATTTTTGAAATATTTTTAAAGAAAAATATATATATAGTCACTTGTAAATATTTGGGAATCACCAAAAAAGCACATTAAACTTATAAGTAACTCTGTCATTTAGACATAACTATTTTAGTGCCTTTTTAGTATATCTTGTTAGTCATTTAAAAAATGTTTTAAACATAATATATTCAAGCTTAACTTTTCTATGCATGTTATTTTCTAATATCTGTACGTAAGTGAGTATATACTATCCAACAAACATTTATGCTCTGCTTTTTTTTTTTTCTACCTATGAACACACATAGATCCATCTACCCATAATTTTTAAGCTGTAAAGAATTGCATTGTACGATTGTGCAATAATTCATTCAGCCCTTACCCACCCACCCCATGGCACTTTGTTATCTACAAGGAATGCTGTGATGAACCTCCTGCACATGCTCTATATATGCATATGCTTTGGCTTGTATTTTTTTTTTTTTTCCTGGAACAGGGTCTCACTCTGTCGCTCAAGCTGAAGTGCAGTGGCATGATCACAGCTCACTGCAACCTGGAACTCCCAGGCTTGAGCGATCCTCCTGCCTCGGCCTCCCAAGTAGCTGGGAATACAGGTGCTCACCACCATGGCCAGCTGATTTTTTTAAAAATTTATTTGTAGGGAAGGGGGGTCTGACTCTGTTGCTCAAGCTCATCTTGAACTCCTGGCCTCAAGCGATCCTCCTGCCTCAGTCTCCCAAAGTGCTGGGATTACAGGTGCAAGCCACCGCGCCTGGCTAGCTTTTATTTCTATAAATGTAGAGTCCTAGAAGTAATAATGCCAGATCAAAGACAGTGTGCGGTTTTGTTTCTGATACCGCTAGATTACTTTCCAAAAAGATAGTAGCAATTTATGTTCTTACAAACCATTCATGAGAATGGCTGTTTCTCCTCATTCTCACCAGCTCTGGATTTGATGTGTGTGGGGCTTTTTATTTTTTGGTAGTTATTTGGTTTTTAGTTATTTTTATTTTATTTATTTATTTTGCCAACCCAGTAGAGAACAGTCGAGCATCTTTTCATGTATTTATTGGCCATTTGCATTCCTTCCTGCTGTGAAATGTCTTATATCTTGCCCATTTTTCTAGTGATAAAACACTGATGCACATTTTTTTTATTATTATTTCAGCATATTATGGGGGTACAGATGTTTAGGTTACGTATGTTGCTCTTGCCCCCCCCCCACTAAGTCCAAGTTTCACATATGTCCATCCTTCAGGTGGTGCGCATTGCACTCTTTGTGTATGCAAATACCTGTCCCTCCTCCCTCCTCTCCCCTCCCCCCTCCCCCCTGCCCAACATCCAATAGATGTTATTCTTATATGTGCACTTATGTGTTGATCAGTTAATACCAATTTGATGGTGAGTACATGTGGTGCTGCACATTTTGAAGACTTGATCTGCATTGTGAAAGTACCCTACAGAGTAGTCAGTACTGGTTTTTATACCATATCTTGGATCTGGTGTGTTTTCATGAATCCCACTTTGCTAAATTGTGGGAATCCTAGATGTGCCAGTTAATAATCCTAGCCGGTTTAAACAGTCTTATCCGTTTAAAATAGTTTTCAGGCCGTTCAAAGTTCAGGTCCCCATAAGAGGTGGTCGAAGTTTTTATTGGTTTGTACAAAACCTCATAGATTTTTTTCTCTCCTCCCCCTAATCTCTCTAGGATGGCTTTTGGGTGAATAAGGAAGGGAAGTTTACATAATCTCCTCGCGAAACATAAGAGGAAAACTGCAGAATTCCCACAGGTCCTTGTCCTGTCCTTTTGCTCCTCTGATGTCCCAGATGATGCTTCTTGTTGACCAGGCTGCTGCCTGCCCTGCTGGGAACTTAGACCTAAGTCTGCAGCTGATGAATAGACAGACTAGTTGCCCATCTCACCGACCTGGCCTGAATGAGACTCTCGCTGCCTGTGTTCACTGCACATTTGGGATTTTTGCCATTTAACATTGATTATAACTGTATTTATCCTATGAGAAGATTGCCATACAGGAAGGAATTTGATTTTTTTCTTAGAAAATGTTTTCGAGATTTAAAGTACAGAAGGAAAAAATAATGCCTTTTGTTTTAATTCCACAGAATGGCAGCACACTTGTTTAACATTGAGTTCTGTGCAAGAAAGAAAAAATTTAATATATTCCTTGCCAACAAGTGGTGGAAAAACCCTGGTGGCCGAGATTATAATGCTGCAAGAACTGCTTTGCCGGCAGAAAGATGTTTTAATGATCCTTCCATATGTGGCAATTGTCCAAGAAAAGGTATGAGTTTTTCTAAACAGATGTTATTTGCTAACATTATTTTGACATTAAGATATAAAAACTAGCATTAATGTAACAACATTTTATTGGCTGAGAAGAAGTGCCTCTTAATGATGAAGAATTAATATTTTAGGCTGGGCGCGGTGGCTCACGCCTGTAATCCTAGCACTCTGGGAGGCCGAGGCAGGCGGATTGTTTGAGCTCGAGAGTTTGAGACCAGCCTGAGCAAGAGCGAGACCCCATCTCTACTAAAAAAATAGAAATCAGCTGGACAATTAAAAATATATATAGAAAATATTAGCCAGGCATGGTGGCGCATGCCTGTAGTCCCAGCTACTCAGGAGGCTGAGGCAGGAGGATCACTTGAGC